GTCGCGGGCAGTGGCTAAGCGGTCAGGCAGGCGCATGGCGATGAGGTACAGGGTAGCGCAGAAGGGTGGGGAGAAGGCAGTAAGCTGGGCGGCAGAGCTAGCAGCGCGGTAGCTGGTTTCTAGTGCACGGAGGTGAGTGGCGAGGTCAAGTACAGTGGGGAAAGCAGAAAGATCTGGGAAGAGCATGGGTAGGATCAAGCGGCCAGCAGAGGCGGAAGTAGGGGAGGAGTAACGCTCAACTACTGCAGCAAGAAAGTCCTTGGCGTTCGCAACAGCGGTGAAGCGCGGACGCTCAGAGAGGGGAAGGGCATGGATAATGGCAAGCTGCGCTACTGCATCGCGAGAATCCCAGACAGCTCGAGCAAGCGCAGCAGCAGCAAAAGCCTCGCTCTCAGCTGTGGTAGGGTCAGCACGGAGGGGATCAGGCGCAGGGGGGCGGGGGAGCAAACCATCAACATGCATAGGCTGGGAGTGCCCATCCTGGCGCTGACCTGTCAGGTGCCGGTGGAGGTCGACGAGCCAGGCGGCGAAGTCGATCGCGTGCCCCACAGCGTCCAAGCGAAGAACGGCGTCCGCCATCACACAGTTTTACACCGGCATAGCGGCTTTGCGACAGAGCGACACGACGGCTCGGCGGCTCGGCGCCAAGCGGCCCGGCGGCCCGGCAACTTGGGCGACGAGGCCGGCTAGGACGCAAGGGGCCGACTAGGGCGAGCGGGGCCGGCAAGGGCGTGTGGGGCTGGCTAGGGGCGCGAGGAGCCGGTAGGGGCGTGAGGGGCAGGTAGGAGGACGAGGGGCCGTAGGGGCGCGAGGGGCCGGCTAGGGTTGCGAGGGGCCGGTAGGGGCGCGACGGGGCCGGCTAGGGTCGCTAGGGGCCGGTAGGGGCGCGATGGGACCGGCTAGGGGCGCGAGGGGCCGTAGTTTCGCGCGGGGCCGGCTAGGGGCGCAAGGGGCCGGTAGGGGCGCGATGGGGCCGACTAGGGGCGCGACGGGGCCGTAGGGGAGCGACAGGACCATAGGGGCGTGACGGGGCCGGCTAGGGGGGTGACGAGGCCGGCTAGGGGCGCGAGGGGCCGGTAGGGGTGTGACGGGGCCGATTAGGGGCGTGACAAGTACGTAGGGGCGCGACGGGGCCGTAGGGGCGCAACGGGGCCGGCTAAGGTTGCTGAGGGGGCCGTAGGGGCGCGACGGGGCTGGCTAAGGGCGCGACGGAGCTATAGGGGTGCGACGGGGTCGAGGGGTGCGACGGGGCCGTAGGGGCGCGACGGGGCCGGCTAGGTGGATCTACCTACTCGTGATACGATGTTAAGACTACAAAGAATTATTAGAACAAGGGAGAACAGGGGAGATATAGCGTTTGGGTTGTACCCACTAAGAACATACCCTATCTAGCCTATAACCTCTACATAACAATATATGTATAAGTTGATACACGCTGTAGATGAAATTGCCGTAGGGCGTGTTTCTAGTAGGTGTCATCCCGAAAAAGTGTCATCCGAGAATGTTGGGAACTCATCGCAACCGTTGAAGTTTTGAAATAACGGTTGTGATGAGTTTCCAACATTCTCGGATGACACTTTCTTGGGATGACACCTACTAGAAACACTCCCTTACATTCGAGGTACCGTATTCTCCCGGATATAGTACCCTAGGGAGCTAATAAAAATTCATGAAAATTTTGGGGTGGGTGGAATTAAAGGCAAAAAAAATATAACACCATGGTTCTATGGAACGTGCATATGGCTTTTCCAGTTGCAAAATGTTTCTACTTGTTACACCACTTTGTACTGAGTCAGATATCGACATTCCGTGACCTCATCGCGTAACTGACGATGTGGTCCATATACAAGCCACGTCGTTGACTAAACCAGCTGAGTCACGGAAAATGCTGGCAAATCAGCCAATGAACGCGTGCCGCAGGCCTCATCCTAGCTGCTTCCATGCAGCGCTGTGCCATCACAGCGTTGCTTGACGACATCCAAGGGGAGATTCCATTCAGGGCCCACCCACAACCGTCCATCGCACAAAATCGTGCGCTGGACGCTCGTGAAGGGGCTGTTCGTGATCGATAGGGACGAGGAGTCACGCACGTCCCTTCCATCCCCTCCATCCCGTTCTTGAAGTGGGTCTACCTGACCTTTTTGCCTCATTTCGCCATTCAGCAGCAGAATGCCTACAAGACAGCCCCTGCAAGGGCTGTCTCAGGCACCCCACTCGGTTTCTGTTAGAGGCTCCCGCCATGGCGTATGGCACAGGCATGTCGCGTGTGCTATCTCAGAGAGGCCCTTACGGTCAGCAGACATTCTTCCACCATCCATCCCGCCCGACAGTATCGTCGCCCTCTCGGAGCCCAAGTCGCACGTCGGGCGAGGGCGACAACACCGCCACAGACTCAGCGACCGACGCGACGGAGGGTCGGCGTCCCCTGCCCCGTGTCACTGTGCCAAGCTTCCCCGTGCCTGTCCGCCGTCCAAATGGCCCGACTATCAACCATGACGCGAACCCCCCCTCTCCTCGAAGCAGGATGACGAAGCGGAAACGCCGCTCGTACAGCGCTTCGGAGAAATTGTACTGGTTAGGAATGTTTGACTCTCAGCCTGACCTCTCCATCCGTTCGTTGGCCAAGCTCGCAGGTGTGCAGCTTGTCATGATTCGAGAGTGGAAGAAGGCACGGGAGAGACTCCGTGTTGCTGCAAGCTGTCGAAAGCGGCTCGTTGGCGCAGGTCGTCCGGCGAAGTTCCCGACGATGGAAGCGGCTCTCTACCGTCAGTTTCTGTGGCATCGAGGGAAGGGCCTGGCTATCTCTGTGAAGCTCTTGCAGAAGTGGAGCCGCTCGTACATGAGGGCACGCCATTCTGATCTCGACTGGCGCGCGTCCGCCCGCTGGACCTTCAGATTCCGCGCGCGATTTGGTCTGACACGACGTGTGAAGACGAAGATGGGGCAGAAGCTCGCCGATGGTTCGCTTGCTTTCCCATGTCGCCAATCATGTTGAATAGTGCATGTTTGTTTTACGACAATTCCCGACTAATTCTCTATCTTTGTTTTTGTCTAATGCAGACATGCGGGAGAAAGTCCACAAGTTCTGGGAATTCGTCAAGCAAATGCGACTGCTCAACGGCTACAATCTCGACCTCATTGTCAATGCGGATCAAACTCCGCTTTTCATCGAGATGCCGCAGGAAAGGACCTTGGAGCACAAAGGTTCGCAGACAGTACACGTGAGGACCGCCGGGTACAAGAAAGAGCGCTTGACCGTCATGTTGGCGGTCACAGCCTCAGGAATGAAACTCCCGCTATATGTCATCTTCAAACGGAAGACCCTGCCGAAGATTCTGGTTCCCCCAGGTAGGGATTCTGAACTCTGGCGGATTCCTTGATTGCTCCACACCGTCGTCTGTTGACTGACTCTCTGCCTGTGGTGTTTGGGTCCATGCAGGTGTCATCATCCGAGCCCAGCATAAGGGCTGGATGGACGACAAGCTAGTCCAAGACAGGACTACTCAAGTCCTGAACCCCTTCCTTCGGCCGCTGCGCGAAGCCGGCAACAGGCGCAAGGATGCGCTAGTCATCCTCGACTCCTACAAGGGGCACCTCACAGAGGCGGTCGGACAAACGATGAAGCTGTGCAAGCTGACGCGTGCAGTCATTCCTGGAGGCTGCACGCCTCTCGTGCAGCCGCTGGATGTCGCAGTCAACAAGAGCTTCAAAGCTGGTGTGCGTAGCGACTACGGCACCTGGTTCGAGGAGTTCGGCATCGACCTCAAAACAGCAGCAGGTGAACCCACTTCATGTTCCCGCTGCTTCGTTTAATGCTTCGTACACTAATCTGACCATTGTTAATGTTATTCATCGCTTTCTAAACGCTGATTTGTTGCCGTTGACCGCCACCACTCCCTCTGCAGGAAATCTGAAAAAACCCCCAGCGGAGCTCATTCTCAAATGGATTGCATGGTCATGGGCGGCAGTTCCGGAGGAGCTCATACGGAACTCGTTCAAGACCTGTGGGATCTCAAACGCGTTGGATGGCTCCGAGGACAGGTTGGCTCTCCGTCACCTTCGCGAGAAGCCGGGCGTGGAAGTTATGGACGACGTCCACGTTCAAGAGGGTGAGAGCGATTACGTGAACCCTCTGTATGACCGCACGATCGACGTCGACGAGGACTTCGCCGACGACGAGGAGCATGATGCCGCGGCGGCAGCAGAAGCCGATGGCGACATGGATGAAGCGGCAGCAGCAGCGGCAGTAGCAGAGGATCCCGACCTCTCTACAGCAGAGGCAGAGACAGCAGCAGAAGCACAAGCACAACGAGCCGAAGACAGTGTGGAGTGGCCGGCTGAAGGCATTGCTGAAGAGGATGATAACAGCCACTGGTGGGATGAGCTGGCAGATGGGAGTGATGTTGAGGAGTGGCATGCTGGCGACGATGAAGATGATGACGAGGACGACTAGAGCACGTGGCAGAGGCAGTAGCAGCATGAGCTAGAGTAGTGGTAGCTTGTATTGTGGTCCCCTTATATAGCTCTAGGACATCCAAGCAAACTTAGGTTGTTTAGCTAACCTCTAATTCTTGATTGTTAAGCGAAAATTCGCTGGAATGTAGTGCCCCGTTTCGGGGGGGGGTGTTCAATTGTTTTCAACCCCAAAAGTAGGGTGGTAACTAGATCCAGTTTAATTAAACACCCATACCCGCTCAAGCCACCCATGGGAGCTTAATTCCGGCGGGTACTGTATCCGGGAGAATACGGTACAAACATAAGATCATTTTCTTCGTTTATTTGTTGCAGTAGTTTATGCTTCGTTGACGTGACATCACACCGCTTGACGAGACTTCTGGAAGATCATAAATTTCGTGCCACGTGGCTTCTAGATGAGTCCTTTCCGTCCACACTGGAAGCCACGCCAGCACAGGCAAATGTTTCCTTTACTGCCACATTCCATCCTCCCGCCTGCACTCCCTTGTTACTTGTGTTGAGCCCCCTCCGAAACATTTCTTCCAAGTAAACCCCTCCAAACAATCTCCACCTTTGTCTCACTCTGCCTCCTCTGCATCTCCCTCAACTCCCACACATCTCGCACATCTCGCGCACATGGCTGCGTCCGTCTCCATGGTCGCCGCAAGGTCCTGCGCGAGCCTCGCATTGCCTTCAGAGTTCGTGTCGGCGCCTGTTTCGCGAGCGGCCGATTTCGCCAGCTTTACTGGCCTCAAGGCCGTGCAGCCCGTCGCCACCGTCGCACAATCCGTCGCACACCGCTCGTCGCCGTCGTGCCGCAGCGCAGTCGTCGTGCGTGCGGGAGTGGCCGTTCCCCCCTCGGTATGTGGCTGCTCTCCGCGTCGCCTGGATATTCCTTCCTCGTCACCCATGGTCCACTCTGTTCCCGACTTTTCTTTTCTAAACCCGTCTTCCTCCTTTTTCTTGTAAACCCAATACTCACATTGTCTCCCAATCTCCCCGCCCCCTCCCTCCCCTTCCGTCTCCCTCCCCGCACACCTCTCTCCCCGCCCCATCCTCCCCCCTCTCCGACTTTCCCCGCATGTCCTCCCCGCTCTTCCGCGCGTCCCTTCTCCCCCCCTCCCCCCCAGATCTCCTCTCTGACGCCGGTGGGCGACCGCGTGCTGGTGCGTCTGGAGCAGGCGGAGGAGCGCACGGCGGGCGGGCTGCTGCTGCCGTCGTCGTCGCAGACCAAGCCGCAGGGCGGCAAGGTCGTCGCAGTGGGCGAAGGGCGAACCGCCGGCGACAAGACCATTCCCGTCGGCGTTGAGGTGCGACCGCCCAGGCGCAGGCGCGCTTCATTGCAGTTCCGCACCTGTTGTTCTCACCCTACCCATCCAGTTGCTCGCGCGTGTAGCACCACAGCCGCTTAACGTCCTCACTGGCATGGTGTCAGATCTTTCGATGGAGCGCCTGTTGCGATGGCATTGTTTTTCACTTGGATTCCTGGCGCACCTTCCGCTGGTTTCGGGCCATCATTTACTCTCCGCGTCGAGCGCCCCGCGCCGCCATTTTTTCGCTGCCTCTTTTACCGCATCCTGCCGCTTCTATGCGCCACTCCCCCGACCTATACTATCCTCCTCTCCCATTCGCGATGGCGCACCTGTGCGCGCACACCACTCGCGCGTATGACACGTACGATTGCCCGCGTCCGGCCACCGCGATCCGAACTGTGCGGCACACATGGATTGAGCGCGGTGTAGGAAGCCCGCCGTCACACGGCTCACACGGCTCACACGGTTCACACGACCGAATCACACTCACCTGGCACACATGACTCGAAACCCGCTGTTGGAGCTTCGTCACATTAACCGTTACCCATTCACCCGTCGTGTATTCGCCCGTGCGTCGGATTGCTTGCGCGGTGCAGGCGGGCGCGCGCGTGGTGTACAGCAAGTACGCGGGCACGGAGGTGGAATACGAGGGCGCGGCGCACGTGCTGCTGCGCGAGGACGACATCGTCGGCACCATCGACGGCGACGACGTCGCACAGCTCAAGCCGCTCGCCGACCGCGTGCTCATCAAGGTCAGCAAAGGGCGGGCTGGGGGGCGCTGGGAAAGGGCTGGGGGGTGTTGGGAAGGGCTGGGGGGGGCTGGCGGGGGCTGGGGGGGGCTGGGGGAGTCTGGGAAGGGCTGCGAGGGGCTGGAAGGGACTGGTGGGGACTGGTGGGGGTGTGAGGTGGAGTGGGGTAGGAGAGGTGAGAGATGGGAAAGGCTAGGGATAGTGCGAGTGAAGGGCGGTTTAGGAGTGGCCGGGAGGAAGGGTGGTGTGCCCGGAATCGTGGTGTCGCCGGTGGCCGGCTCATGCTGCTTCACCCTCAACCCTCCAAGTCCCCTCCGTCTTCTACTTCCCTCGCCCCCCCTTCCCACCCGCCCCGCCAAACTCCGTTGCCCTCGCTCGTATCCACACGCTGTCCGGTTACCCCTCGTCATCACGCCTCCTGTTTTAACTCTTCCTTCCCCCCTACCCCCCCACGCTCCCTCCGCCCCCCCAGGTGCAAGAGGCGGAGCAGATGTCGGCGGGCGGAGTGCTGCTGACGGAGAGCGCCAAGGAGAAGCCCGTCGTGGGCACGGTGAGTGTGTGAGGGGAAGGGGCGCGGGCACTGGGACGGGGACGGGGCTAGGGAGAAGGAAATTCTTGGGAGGGGGGGACGAAAGAGGGTGGGCGGAGACGAGGCATAGGACAAGGGGGCCATGGGGGAGGAAACGAAGGGGTAGGGGGGACGGGGGCGGGGGGAGGTTACTGGGTCAAGCGTGAGACCTGGGCTGTGATGCAGATAGCAAGGAAATTGTGAGATGGAAATGGAACGGGAAAGGAGGCATGAAAACCAATTCTTGGGCGCTGTAACGCGATAGCGGACTGAGGATACACGTGCAGACGCTGGGGTCTAGAGTGGTGGTTGAGGGGGAGTGTGGGGGTTGGTTGGGTCACATGTGAGATATAATACACAGTGCGGGTTACACTTGGCGTGCAGTGTACGAGTTGCCTCCAACTGTTATCTGTCAACCATCGTTAGTGGGATGGTGGGGGGCCGGGGATTCTGAGAGTGAGTGCATGCGATTCTTTGCGACGAGTTGAGCGGAATGGGCTGATAGGCCCGGTGGGTGTCCCGGTGGGGGCAGCAGTTGAAAGAGCGGGTTGCAGGGGCAAGAGAGATGTGGTGCTGCAGCTGCTCCATAAACCCTGAGATTCAGAGGGAGGTGTGACGAGGGTATAAGGATAAGAGGGGGGAGAGGGGCGGTGGTACAGGCGTATGTGCAAAAGAGTAGAAAGAGGGAATGAAGAAGTGGAGTGGTGTCTCTGCTGCCACTGTCTGCCACTGTTCCGGTCCCAATCCCTCTTTCTGCACATTCTCCGCCTTCAATTCTCCTCCCCCCTCGCCGTCCCTCTCCCTCCCTCCTGTTTCTCCCTTCATCCCCTCACCCACCAGGTGGTGGCTGTTGGCCCAGGAACGGTGAAGGAGGACGGGTCGCGGCGGGCGGTGGAGGTGGAGGTGGGCAGCACGGTGCTGTACAGCAAGTACGCCACGAGCGAGTTCAAGAGCAAGGACGGCTCGCTGCACGTCGTGCTCCGAGAGGCCGATGTCATGGCCGTGCTCTCGTGAGGGGCTCACGCTGGATGCTAGCGGTAGCTTAGTGTTGGGAGGGATGATTTGATTGGATCGCAGTGGTAGACCCATTTACGGTACCATAGTTTCAGTGTAGTAGGTTGATCGTGCTTGCGGCATTTATTCTTATCTCAGTATGTGGGAGCGGGACCAACTCAGTATTCTACACTGACATGTGAAGTCTCAATGCCACAAGCACCAGAGCGTGCATGAGAATCACTGAGGGTGAGCTAAGGTTTTCAAGTGGAACTCCGGCAATCTGGCAGGTCAATGCACTCACGCCTGGCAGCAATACTAAGCTCACCCAATGAATGACATAGCATTACAACGTATCGTACAATTATCCTTGCTTCCACAATACCCCATAAAAGCATGCTGAAGGGCAACTGAATGAAACGTGCTGAGCAGCTGTTGAGAGACACAACACAACACAAACACTCTCCAAGATCCTTCCATTCCACGGCGGCTAGTGCACCGACAGCTGCTGCTGCTGCTGCTCCCGTTTGAGTTGCACGACAGCATCCGCAATGATCTCAGCAGCCTCATCCACCTCCTGCTCTGTTGTCCACCGCCCCACGCTCACCCTCACAGTGCACCTCGCGTATCGCCCGCACACTCCCATCGCCTCCAACACCGACGATCCCTTGAGGAAGGGGGGTGATGCTGCTTGCTTGAGGGGAGGGGTTGAGGCGGAAGAGGCAGGACAGGGAGAGGAAGGAGCGGGCGAGGAGTGGCAGGCAGCGCCAGCGCTGCAGGCGACCCGGGGGAGGAGACGAGCCATGAGGGAGGGGCCGTGAAGGGACTCGAAAGAGAGGCTGCAGGGGAGGAATAAGTGGGCAGGGAGAAGAAAAGAGTGGGGAAGTTGGGAGAAAAATATATGAAAGGTGACGAGAGTGAGTGTGATCAGCAAGTGCAACTAGTGGTCAGGGTCTATTGGGAAAGTATCTAAGATGCTACCAGAGAAACGCAGCATTATGTCTAAAGCGGGTTCTTAAGTAACAGTCCAGAAGAAACTACCACCTCAGTTAATGGCCGTAACAAGGGAGCAGGGCAAAGCATAGAGGAGTGGGAGGTCAATGAATGGAGAACACGGATCAGTGGGACGGGGACTGAGGAACAGGAGAAGACGGATTGGAGACGGGGAAAAGACTGACCTGAGGGTGTTGGGTAGCCGCTTGCTTGGGTCACACGGCCCATTCACTCTGAACCGAACCGTGTCACCATCATTGTTGACTGAAGCAGCACCGTTGCTGCCCTGCAACGCCACATCACCCCCCTTGCCCCCCCCCTCCTTTTCCCCTCTCTCTTGCTGCGGCCCCACGAGGCACAGGCGGCGTGTCAGGCCGTGCAGCAACCTGCTGCGCATGTGCTCGCTGTGGGCCGTGTCCGTGGGAAGATGCGCGTGAGCCAACTCACATGCCTGCCTTGTGGGCGAGGGGGGGGGAGGGGCGGACGATGGAGAGATGGAGGGGTGAAGGGTGAAGGGGAGCATTGCACGCACACATGCAACAGAAGGTACACTCCCACCCATTTGTCGCCCCTCCCACACAGAGCACATGCAACGCACACTATAGCAATGCCTTGCTCAGTCTTGTTCCCTCATCTCATCCCATTTATTTACCCCTCAAACTCATCCTTCCCATTCAACTCCCTCTCCCCTCCCACCTCTCCCACAGGTTGTACCTTCCCCCGTCACCTTCCCCGGTCTCACCTTCCCCAGGCCCGCCAGCAGCACGGTGCTCTCAGTGCCGGCCCGCCTGCCCTTCTCATGGCCCGCCCCGTGCATCAGCCGCGGCAGGCGCACCCCCCGCCGCACCACCAGCGCTCCCACGCCCTTGGGGCCATACAGCTGGGGACGGAGGGATAGGAGGAGCACGGGGGTTCTGTGTAAGGTAGAGCAGGAAAGAGGAGTCAACGTTTGGGGCGGAGAGGGCGGGGGCACACGCCGGACCGTGCGAGTGTGCGCAGCATCGCAGGGGGGCCAAACTTTGAGGTGCATAGGCGGGCAAACTGTGGAAGCAGCACTAGCCTGTCTTTTGAGGCGCCTCAATAGCTGGGCAATTTGTGGGGGCAGCACTAGCCTGTAAGCTGCAGCACTACTTTGAGGCCGGGTGCACTACCTTGTGGGCGGCAACAGTGAGCAGGTCAACTCCGAGAGCAGTGAAGTCCACAGGGGTCTTGCCCACTGCCTGGCTGGCGTCTGTGTGCAGCAGAGGAAACTCTGCCCCTCTTGGTGCTGCTGCTGCCGATGGTGATGCATCTGCTGCATCTTGTGCATGTTGTGCAGCGTCTGCATCTTGTGCTGCTCTGGTCGCCCGGTGGTTTCTGAGAGCAGCAGCAATCTGTGCAATGGGCTGCAGCGAGCCCACCTCGTTGTTGGCCAGCACTGGGGGATGGGGGAGAGAAGAGGAGTGAGAGTGTTGGGATGCCACAGCAGAGTGACGCGCAAAAGGGTATACAAGGGAAACGACAACACTGTTGAAAGGACTAGCATTGTTGAAGTCCAAGACAAGGGAGGAGGAGCAACAGGAGGAGAGAGAGCAGAGGAGAGTGCTGAGGAGACAATCACGGAAAGCAAGGAGGGGGAGCTCACTGATGGAGACGATGGCAGTGTTGGGGCGCACAGCCGCCACGACATGGTCGGCGCACACAATGCCGTCGCTGTCCACGGGCACCACCGTCACCTCACACCCCGCCTCCACCCTCAGATGCTCCGCCACCTCTGTCACTGCCGGATGCTCCACGGCTGATATCACCACGTGCGGGGCAGCAGCACCGCCACCACCACCAGCAGCAACAGCAGCAGCAGCAGCAGCAGAGCGGGCGTTATGTGTGGAAACTGCTCCCTTGATGGCCCAGTTGTTGGACTCCGTGCCCCCACTCGTGAACACCACCTGCAGTGCAGTGGCCGCACCGAGGGCAAACACAGCACCGTTGGTAACCATCACACCGCACATGGCATGGCATGGCGCGCCCCCATGTGAGATGAAGGGATTGCACATGCAGTGCAAAGATCTGTCATGTGTGCGTAACACGTGCTAGAAAGTTGCAAAATCAGCGCATGGGCCAAGCAAATCACGTGCCTTAATGAACCCAACAGAACACACAAAAAGTGATTTCTTAGGGAACCAAAGAACTGAATTCGCCTCGTCGTGCTGGCAGTCATACGCGTTATAACATCACCATCCTGCTGCCCGACGCGCCCGCGCGCTCAAATCCAGTTTAGCTGCCCCCGTACCTCGTCTGCGGAGCAATTGAGCAGCTGCGCCACGCGCGCCCGCGCCCTCTCAACCACCGCGTTGGCCCTCCGCCCCATGGCGTGCGCGCTGGACGGGTTTCCGAACTCCGCGCGCAGCACGGGAATCATCTCCTCCGCCACCGCGGGGTCTGTGCGCGCCCTTGGGGGAAGGGGGGGGGGGGGGGTGGGGAGAGAGGGGGAGGGGAGACGGAGGCAAGGATGGTATTGGTTCATGGCGAGTGGGCGAAGTGGTGTGGCGAGTGTCGTCACGCCATGCTCTGTGTTGCATCGAACGTGCGTCAGCAGTATCAAGGCCCTGTGGTCACGAGACTGAGTGCGACGGTAGAGTGAGCGATACGGTATATTGGTGTCGACGAGGAAACTACTATTTTTCCCGAGTCGCACCAATGGGGGTGGTCGCATTGTAGTCAAGGTAGATCAGATCGCGCGGGGTCGGTTCGACCTCGAGATTCTCGTCGCGGCCGGAGAGTTTGATCTGGGCGCCGTCGGGCACGCCATGGCGGAGGAATTCCATTGAATGTAGCGTGACTCTCGCTTCCTAGCAATGCTGCTCTCGTTCTATTACGGCCTGCATGACCAGCGTTCCAACTGATCCTGATTCAGGCATGCATGTTGGGCGTGGCCGACTTCCTCGGGGGGGCTGGTACGGGAGGGCCAGGCTGCTTGCTTGATGCTAGCCTTTTCACGTCCAGGGACTTGAAACGGTGCTGGTAAGGCGTGTCCCAAGAGTACGTCCCGCAGACAGTTTGTACAGGTGGAATACGCTGATTAGTGTTTCAGATTGGTGAAGCCAAAATACCGTCTCTCAGCGCGTGTCACCGTACATCACCGCTTACAGAATATGTGGGACGTACTCTTGGGACACGCCCTGAGGACGCGTTTGCCCCGCGACCATACCCGTTTGTTCGTTCCCGTTTTTTGTTATAGAGGACGGAAGCAAACTGTTTCTTGAACATTGCCAAACTTTGAAAACCACGAAATGGAGATGATGTGTTCATAATGCATACGAAATGGAGATTTAATCATTTGGGATAATCAAAACACGCTGAAGAACGCAACACATGAAATGTCGTTGATAATAATTTTCTTTTTGCGTGGCCTTTTTTCATTAATTACGCTGGCTCAAATTAGGTGGATATGGGTATTTATAGGCTTCACGAATTAGACAACATTGATTTGACGAGAGGAGTTTAGACTCGCACTTTCTTGCCCTACATTGCCATAGCTGTCCATGATAAAGTATGATGCTACAGAACCAATACGGAGTTTCACCTCCAAACGAGTCTGCACAGCCATCTGGTCTTGGCCAACGAGTCAAAACAAGGCGGTGGATTCGCGCCAGCCTGCCGACAATGCTCAGCTCTGCACAATGAAACATCACATTTCATGGGCACGAATTCTGAAGGGCATTGGTTTCCCCAGTCAAACCAGTCCCGACCGCGCCATCCTTGCAATGCCGTTGGCACAAACTCGATTCAAATTTCCAGCTGACGGCTGAAACGGCGATGATGCAGGTGTGGGTCAATGGGAAATTATTTTTGGGCAGACGATAGAAAAATATTGATGGCTTTAGAGGTTTTTTATTCGTATAATTAGGTAAATAGTTTTCTATGCCGATATATTGGCCGTCCTGGTGAAAATGGGAAGCTAATGTTTCAAATGTTGCCCAAAACGCGATTCGATTCCAGCAACGGGCACGTCCGTCAATGCGCCCCTGTTCTTGCCAGCCCCAATTTGAGCCATCACGCCAGGCGACTAGGTCCTGCTCCATCACATCAGAGCCACCCAACGAGTACATTCTCGAACCATGTCCGTGGTTTCGTTGTATATCTCCATCAGCGCCTTATTGTAAAAATCGACTCCTCTCGAGCAAGTACAAGCATCCATAGCACAAGCATAGTAACTTCGCACTCCTCAAAGCGACTGGACCACTTTCGCGAACCCACATCTTACTAGAGTTTCCCTGTGGTTGTGTCTTGACCGATGGCTACCGCAACGCCATGTGGGAGGAGATGCTGCGGGATTGCAGCACTAGCGGTGGCGTTGACGGTGCTGCTACCCCTGGCTTCACTTCCCCTCGCACTATCCCTTGGTGAGCTCGAGAGTTTCCTCGACCTTGAGGTGGTGTGGCGACGCTACTGTTGCGCATAACGGCGGATCAGCTTGCTCGCTGCACGACGCCACGTCGCTCGTCGAGCCTCGGTTTTCTTCCCACCTCCTCTCTGCCCTACCAACCCCCCTCTCTGTCTCTTTCTCTCGATCTCTGCCTTACCCACATTCAGGCCACAAGGCTCCTCGGATCGTCTCGACAGCAGCTGCTGACACAGCAGGCGGCTTACCTGACGGCGCCACGTGTACGCTCAACAACAACCACCGGCCTGTCGGGCGTCCCTGCGCCTCCAGCTCCTTCCAGTTGAGTCTTGCCATCTTTTTTCCCGCTTCCTTCTCAACCTTCCTCCTCGCGCGTTTCTCCCTCGTCGCTATTGACATCTTCCTCTACCCACGACCTTCCGTCGATTCTTGCGGATGAAATCTTCCGATGCTTGTAACTGCAACCTCTAAATACGCCGCCTCTTGGCCATAGTAGCATCAGCGTCGCGGCTTTCCCTCCCTGCATTCTCGCCCCGTTTTCCCCGTGCCAGTTGCGTGGTGACGCGCGTTCCTACTCCCGCCAACGCCCTCTACACTGGTGTCTGCAACTCTTCCTACGCTCGTACGTCGCAACAGACGCTAAGCTGTTACTCGTCACTGCTCTTTCGACATACGCGTAAAAACAGGAGTTATCTCAGTGCCGTAACCCCTCGTTACAACCATTGACCCGTTGACCCGTTGACCTCTCACCGTCCCACATTGACCTCCGCACCCCTCTCCCACAACCCCAGTGGGCTCGCACTGCATGTACACGAGTCAGCCGTACGCTGTTGGCACGCGGGGCATCAAGGGCAACCCGGCCTGCGCGCGCTGCACCTGCACCAACCACCCCGAGAAGGCGCAGGAAGTGGCGGCGGTCGCAGCCGCCGCAGCCGACTACGCCGCTTCAATAAACAGCATCGAGGGATGGCGTTTAGCGGGGACGCGCGGGGGCGCGGGTGGGAGGAGCGGCGTGAATAGCCTGATTGGCCTGAACACGGCGGAGTGCGACTGCGAGGACGTGGGGCCGTGCTACGTGGACTGGCAGGGCGACCTGGTGAAGGGACCCAAGGGGGACGGCGTCATCTGCCCGGAGACCAGAAGGTGAGAGTTGGGCGAGAGAGAACGGTACTTACGTGCTTCTTTCACCTTCTTTCTCTTGCACATACCCGCATTACCCCCACTCGTACTCGCCAACGTCATGACTCCCGCGCTTCGAAACCTCCCCAGGTGCATGATTCACACGGTGGGTGGCGGGGGAAACGACAACGACGGCCGGCCAGTGGACCAGGGCACGTGCGAGGGCTTTGGAGAGGAGGCGGTGTGCGTGGCGGCGGGGAAGAGCTGGGGGCCCAAGTTTTACGTCGAAGGGACTGACGGCGTGCCCGGGCCCAGGGGACGCTGTGAGCAGTGCACGTGCGGGGAGAACGGCGCCCTGCTTGCGTGCAACCTGGTGCGCGGATGCGGGAAAGCGAGTGGCAGTATTGCGAGTGCCAACAGCCTGACGAGCTCGGGCCTTGTGAGCAACAGGGCGAGCACTGAGAGCACTGATGGGACAACGAGGAGGAAGAAGGGAGGCAAGAAGAATGGGGGGAAGAAGGCGCGGAGGAACAGCCATGGGAAGAAGAAACATACTAGCACGGCTGCTAAGAGGAAGCAGGAGTAGGAGTGCAGGTGGGGCGACGCGGCTTAGAATAGGATGTGGGTGTGCATATGCCGAGATGTTCTTCTCTTGAGGGAAGTGCAGCAGCATTCGATAATGCAAGTGCCGAATTGCATAATCCCATGGAGATTATAGAAAATTCTAGCGGAATTTTGTGTGACAGTGGACTTCACTTTTGTAATTTGCCACGCATGAATGATACTCCAGAAAGACAATCCCATGGGCAGGCCCCCAAATTGCAGCCTTTTTACGCTGATTCAGCCTTTTTTCAGGCCTTTTTTTGGTACCTACGCTGATTGCTCAGCCTTTTCTTTTTTTTGGGTTGCGGAGCAAGCTATTCAGGGCTGACGTTTCAAAAAAACCCTCTCTGGTTTTGGCTCCAAAAAAAATTCCGCAGTCTGAGTAGCCAGGTTTCAGTTTCCATGGTCAAAGTGGCAAAAACAATCATACACAGGCAGACACAGCCGCTTACTTTGGAGGTGCGACTTACCTGCTTGACTCCGTGTTGCCAAGGTAGTTCGTCAGGCCCTGGTAGAAGCCCTCCTCGTTGTGGTGGTTCTGCATGATCGGGGCCCAAGTTGCCAGCTCCTTCTCCGCCTCCTTCAAATCGAACCGGGGGAGCCTGTCGTCGAAGATAGCACTGCAGCCATGGAGATACTCCCTCCCTCGTCTTCTCCCTCACCATCCGAAGCCGCGGCCACTTGCCCGCCCGAAACAGCTTCGTCGGCCCGAGCTTCGACAGGTCATCCAGCCGCTCCAGCGGGTTCGTCACGCTCCCCCTTGCGAACTTCGCGCACAACAATTCGCAGTCCCGGTAGTTGCTCTGGTAGATGTGCCCCTTGATCTGCCGCTCGTGCATCTGGTACGTGTGCGTCACCGGCTGCCCGTCCTTGTCGACGCCGCGCACCTTCACTCTCTTCGCCCCCCCTCGCCCGTACACGGCTAAGAAAGCCGACAGCCACGTGCCAGTTACGCCCGCACCGAAAACCCCGCCAGACTCCAAGTAGCGGTGCCGAAGATCCCCCACCGCCTCGTCGACGTCCTGTGTTATCTCGGTGACATCCACCTGCGGTCGGGCGGGGAGGGGAGGTGGGGTGGTGGAAACATGGGGGCGCAAAACAAGGGGCAGAATGTTAGTGCTGATTGTGTAAACATACCACAAGCTCACATGCAAGGGCTCACCTCTCGCTTCAGAAACTTGAGGTTGAGCTCGTTCATGATGGCGAGGACGTCCGCCAGGAAGAAGAGACAAAACTGAAACTTGTATGAGATGACAACCTCGTACAGCTCATGGTTATACTCATACAGTAAAACGATGGCAGCACCGAGGACCTTACAGAGGCGTCTGACTGCCTCGCCCCTGGACAGCCACCGAATCGCGTGGATTCCTTGAACTTCAAGGTTGGTCTTGTGGATGACACGCTGCAGGTACTTGAACCGCTGGCTCCATACGCTTGAACGGCCGAGGAGATCGGCCAGAGTTCGGATAACCTTGTCGACCATGTCCAGGTCTGGACAGGCAGACGCGGCGTCCTTCACAGTCAGAGCTTTCCTGCGCACAATCCACAGAAACAAATTAGTAAACGATTAAAAACAAAGCGAGAACATAACATAATGAGTCCATACCGATGGGCGATGCAGTGGGACGACACAAGGTGAGGGATGTGCTCGCGGAGCCGCGCCACGAGACCGTTCTCCCGCAACATGGCGCCTTGAAGATGAGTTCGATGCCGGCGCCTTGAAGATGAGTGAGGAGCACGGAGAGCAGGGAGGCGGCGTCGCACTTCTCGACGGTGAGCAACGAGAAAAATTCGGTGACGACACGGCGATGGTGCAGGAACGTGAGGTACACTATCAGGTGCTTCCCTCTGGTACGATCAGTGCTCTCGTCGCAACTGATGCCGATGAACAAGGACGATTGAATGTGCTGCATCTGGGTCCGTTGAAGAAGAGTCGACAGGCAGTGGACCATCTGTTGAAAGCCGTACCTGCACGCAGAATAGAGAGTAATTATTAAAAATAATCCAACGGGGCAGAGTAATGGAATGTACTCGTGCGTACTTACCGAGTGAGGTAAACACCGTAAGACTGGAGCGGTAGGTCCGGGGTGTCCTGCTCAGCCATAAAGCGACATAGCCGAGGAAACATGCTGATGGGAGCATCGACCTTACAGAGAAACTCAACAGCGCGGAGCAGTCGCACGACCCGCCTCCCCTCGACATCCGACGACAAATAGTCGTCAATCCTCTTCTGCCCGTCGGCGATGTCGTCGGCAATCTTCAGCTGGGCCTCCACAGCTTCCTTGTGTGCAAAGGAGTGTTTGTGTATGCGCATGGTCTGTGTCTGCAGGTCTCGGCCACCATCGCCCGAAGAGCTGTACTTGGTGGTCTCCTTGCCAAACGTCATGCAGACACTGCACTTGAGAGCAGGGTAACCGTCCTTTGTTTTGGTTAGCAGTAGCCATGGAAAGAAAGGCAGCCATGAAGTTTTGTACTTTGCTTTAGCGACGAGGTATTTCTGCTCAATCAATTCCGTCTTACCTCAGCTTTGGCGGTGGCGGTTCAACGGCGACAGGGACTGCACTAGGTGATGGCGGCGTGGACGGGCGGTGGAGCCTACCTCCGATCATGATTTGAGACTGGGTGTACTTGCCCGTCCGTTGTTTCTTCGCAGACGAAATCGTGGACGCGCAAGGCACACTGTAGCGGACTGTGGTGGCGGTGACGCAGTTAACAGGCAGAGTCGGGCCTCTGCTGGATGAGGCGACGGCAGGCGGAGGGACATATGGTGGTGGCACGAAGGGCGCGGACGGAGGTGGGTTTAGAGCAGGCTGGGTTTCCTCTGCTGCGGAGGAAACCACAACAGCAACGACGGGAGGAGAACCTAACGATCGCAGTATGTCTATCGCGGAGCGACGAACCTCTGCAGGCTCGTTACTATGAGGTGGTTCATCGGCACTGGGCTCATCGTCTTCTTCAGCAGGAGTCCCCGTCATGGCTGTTGACGGGGTCGACAAACAAGAACCTACGTGAGGAGGAAAACTCCGAAACACGAATTGAGGAGTACGATTTACAGACCCAGGGTAAAAGCCTAAGTGCGCCTGAGAGGAGGGGGAGGGATGAGAGGGACGAAGAAGAAGGGCATCATCAAGCCCGAGGCGCATGTTTCTTGGTTAACGCTCGTCGCCAGCTTCTGGATGGCAGCCCCTTCCAAACCCGCGCCGCCATGCCAAACATGAGCTGACATTACGAACGAACCATGTGTTGGCATGGACTGTCGCCAATCACGGTCGGTCGGACAGTTTTGCACTTGCCAGCGAGGGCAAGTTTCCCGCGTTACCAGCCTTTGATGGCTTCCAACACACCCACGTAGAGGTCCTCTTACCAGGCACGCCTGGCAGGATGCATGACGCGCTGAGCGGCAAAGTCCCTGTTGAGGCAGCATCACAGTCACAGAAGGGGCGGGAATCCTGCCAAGTGCAGATACTGCACGTGAGACCTGCGGGGGTGAAATGATGGAAGGCAGCATATGACGTAGTAGAGGAAATCTCGTGGAAACTACAAGGTGCATGGATGTTGCATTTAGAGTCCATACGCGATGTACACTGAAACCTCAGTATCCGCACAACGACTACTCTGAAAACTTCAGGATCCAAAATCATACAACTCTGAAGGGTTCAGTATCCAGAAAAGCCTAAGTCTGAAAAATCAAGATTGGCAAAAAAATGGGTCTGAAATTTCAGACAATCAAACTAAAATAGTCTGATAAAATCAGCCATGAACCTATTGCGATCGATCTGACGAGATTTTTTCAAAAATATTTTAGAAAATGGTAAAATTTTTATTTAAAAATGGTTAGTTTTTCATTATAGTGAATGATAACAAGGAGATTAGTGGCCAATATACTAGCGATAATTCATCTAAACTACATAGGTTCAGTAGCTTTACTTTGCAAAGAGTTGGATGAAAGTGTTATATCACAACTACCTATAATATTATACTTCAAAATAGACAATGATTGAAAAAAACAAATGTGCTCATGTGTTCCATTATTATCCGTTTCGTGTTTTGAGAAAAAAAAGGAAAATAAAAAACTCTCTCTTTGACCAAACTATTTAAAGGGGATTTCTATAAATCTGTAATATAGTATAATATATTAATTACACTATATTACTGGTATATTTTTATGGAAAGCATAAAATGTAAATGTTTTCCACAATTGCCCGTTGTGTTTTTTTCCCCTTTTTTTTGGGGCATTTCTCGTGGCATATTTTTGTCAAAAACAAAAATAAGCGATCGCTTCCCCAGCTAAGTGGGGGAAATCGAAAGCCTATTGTGCAACAAAGACATATTTGTGACTTCCAAATAATGATTTAGACTTATCACTTCCAGTTCAAGTGACCGCACTCGAGGAGAGCGTCAAAGCACCTTGCTTGAAATGAAAAGCCCAAACCAAAATTGGAGAGTCACAAAATATGTATTACTAAAGTAATAAAATAAACAAGCATATGGCCGCACTCACAGAGCGTAGTCATTAATGCATAATATGAGTAGTTGGCAAATAGTATGCTAAGGCACGTAAGTCGGTAAAACAAGATCGGCATGTCGTCTTCGTAAAAGTAAATAACACATTATGAAAAGAGTGGGGGACACAAGAAGGCACAACAGAAGAAAAAAAAACAGAAAACAGAGAGGGGGAAAAAAAAGCTATTCAGCGTAAGAAAGTTGTCAAGTTAAAACATGAAGAGATAATTACCGGTTCGTATCGACAAACAAATCTCATTAAAGTTACCTTAATCGAATGTCTTGCGTTTAGCGGGTGTAAAGGGTGTAGGCGCAGCAGATGACTGCGTAGTGGATGATGACGGTGCCACTATTGGAGGTTCTGAAATGTTGAGTATGAATCTATTGTACCTTAGCTCGCAGTTGCTTCTTGAGTGCATCAAGAACATTTTGACGTGCCGAATCTGTTAAACGGAGGAAATCTGATGTCTAGAAGTCTCGGATCACACTTTGCAGCAACTCGGGCCTCAAGTCTAAGTCTTGAGACTTGTGAAGATAATTGTCTGCAAGTGAAATTATTTCATAAGAAGAAATTTACACATGGTTGAATAGGTGTGAGAGAGGGCAAGAAATGTGCATGAAATGCAAAGATTGTGAAAAAAATAGCTTATGAGCAATATTCATGGAGTTCGATTGTCTTGGTCTACCA